CCGGCGAATCGATAAGCCGCTCACACACACGTATGCTCGATCGCACACAATCACGCTCGTGGTCGCTACACTGCCCCCTCCTTAAGAATGTTTCGTCCTGAAACATTTTTACTTTCCGTTTCGCAGGATCATACCGGAATCTGCAATTCTCGCCTTCACGACATCCACTCCGGGAATAGAAGTAACATTCCACGGTCTTCTTATGATTGGTCCGATTCGGGTTATTACTGCAAAACCAAAATGTCTATTCCAGTACGGCGGAACAGGACTTCGATCATGTTCCATACGATCCTCCAATCTAGGTTATCCAGTCCACAACCAAGCTTCGGAATCGCCAGCTTCTGTAGGTTATTCTCCAGAAGATGTCTGCGAAATTCTATTACTGCGTCCCAAAGATCTCTATAAGTGGGGTTATCAGAGCATCTTCCTTTAGTTACCAGGTAATAAATATTGCGTCGTCCGTCAGGCAAGCACAACAGTGTTTTTCCCTTCTGTACTTGGTCTTCAAGATGTTTCAAACCGCCAAATCTGCGTTTGACTCGGACCGCGATGCCACGGATCATTCTGAGATCCTTTGAAACGCAATGGGCCAGAGAGTATTCCTTGGATATAGCAAAGAGGTCTCGTCGGATTTCTTGCGTCACCCCAAATCTCCTGTTAACATGAGGGCCTTCCTTCATGAACTCTTCAAATGTGGGCTCGGAAGGAGTAGTTCTTAATAATCTGGCCCGCGCCTCCTCTTCATTTGCACCGGCGAATGGAGGCAAGCGATTAAAATGGACTACCTTCGGCTTTCCATTTTGAGTTTTCTTAATTGGGTAGATCACGTCGTTAATCCACTTTACTATCTCATAGAGTCCTTCCCAATTCTGTTGGAACTTAGGTGATAGTCCACGGCGACGACGAGGATTATACAACCAAACAAGATCTCCAGTTTGGTAACCACCTGCTGTAGCCTTAATGTCGTAGTTTTCTTTAATTCTGTCACTAGCAATCTGTGCATGCAGACGAACCGACTCGTGGATATCGTTAAGCTTTCTTCGAAGGTTGGTTACATAATCTTCTCCAGCCAAGTCATCTCCTGGTTTACAGCAGAATTAGAGTTCACAAGGTAGTCGTAACTCCCTTCCAAAAAGGACACTGGCAGGTGTTTGGCCAGTCGTTTCGTGGACAGATGAACGGCATGCCATTAGGAATAAAGGCAAATAGCGGTCCCAGTCCCTTTGGTGGTCAGACACTACCTTGGAGAGATATCTAATCAAAGTCCGGTTCATTCGTTCAACCATGCCGTCCGATTGTGGATGGAGTGAAGTGGTTCGAGTTTTCTTTATCCCTAGGAGCTCGCATATTCCACGGAATATAACCGATTCGAAATTCCTCCCTTGGTCTGAGTGCAACTCCAAGGGCACCCTAAAACGACTGATCAACTTTTTCACCAACTCCTCAACTATGGTTTCCGACTCTTGGTTCGGAAGGGCATAGGCTTCAACCCACTTGGTAAAATAGTCCATAACGACCACGATTGCGATTCGTTCGTAGGGGCCACCGACATTGTATTGACGCATTGGCGCCCTTGGCCTTTTTTACTCGCAGCACAGGTGGTACACTTCTTACACCAATCCTTGACATCTTCCTTACAGTTCACCCAATAAAATCGCTCTCGAACTTTCCCAAGCGTCTTATTCACTCCAAAATGGCCACCAGATGATCCATCATGAAGATACTGCAACACCTCTCTAACCTCGTTTCGAGCAATAACCAGTTGCTTCCTATCTTCCTCTCCATCTGGACTTTCAACAACACGCTTCAGAATTCCATCCTCAAATACCATTGAATCCCATTGAGCCCATAACGATTTTAGTACTTGGGTACAGGAAGAAACTTGCTGCCACGTTGGCCGTTTTCCGTCTTTTTTCCATTCCATTATCTTCTTCAAGTCCGGGTCGTTTTCTTGGTCTGTTTTATATTGTCAGGTAACCATTCATCATCGATTACCGTGACGCGTCGAATTGCCTCTTCGTTCTTTTCCATTCGATCACACTGCTTGCAGTCTGCTTGACAAGATCTTCTGGAAAGTGCATCGGCATTCGGTTCCAGGCCGGTGCTCCACGTCAAAATCATATTCCTGTAGCTTATCAATCCATCGAGCTACCTGGCCCTCCGGATTTTTGAAGTTCAGAAGCCACTTGAAAGCTGCATGATCGGTGCGTATGGTGAATTTTCGTCCATACAGGTATTTATAAAAATGTTCTACACCTTTGACTACAGCCAGCATCTCTCGCCTAGTGACGCAGTAGTTTCTTTCGGCTTTTGATAAGGTCTTGCTAAAATAGCCGATTACCNTTACCCCTCCAAAAAATAAGATTTGTCGAACTCTCCAAAATCCCCCCTGTCTCGGCGATGACTTCCTCGTTTGAGCTAAATTTCTTTCTCGCTAGTCATTTCTTCATGGTAGGGAACAAGGTGAAGTCGCAGGGAGTCAAATCGAGTGAGTACGGGGTGTGCGGCAGCAAATTCATAACGTAATTCGTGCATTTTGGCGGCAACAACTCCTGATGAATTTGCCGGTGCGTTATTGTGTTGAAAACGCATCTTCTTTTTCGTCAAATGCGTCCGTGTCTCCTTCAATTTTTTGTCGATACGGTCCAATAACTCACTGTAGTATTATCCAGTGATTGTTCTTCCTTTTCCTAAAAATTCTGTAAAGTGATTTCCTCGGTAACAACGTTTGCCAGGCTTCCTGGTCGCTCCTATCAAAAACGGGTGTTCGTCCACGTTTAAATTCGTTGAAGCAATATCTAACTGTGGTCGTAGATGGTGAAATGTCTCCATAAACAGTATCCAACTTTGTTTTCATCTCCTCGCATTTTTTCGCATCGAAAAACAAAAAGCGAGTTACCGAACGATACTGGTCTTTTTCCATCTTAGCGAAAATAACGAAACATGTCTAAGTCGAATGGCTGCCAAATCCAAACTAACCTATCAATCAGTCTAAAATTCGTTTTGGCGTGGTTTGATAGATGGCAGCACACGATGACAACACCAATTTCCCTCAGGAACGTCCTCTGTCTTCAAACACGGGTACTTATTGAACCGCCCTCGTA